TCATTGGACGGAAGATCTTCCTCTCTGTCTCTCCTCTCTGTATATCTGCCTTTCCAATAAATAAATAATAAAAATAAATCTTTAAAAAGAAAAAAACCTGAGGAAGACCAAAATCAGGCAATTAAAGCCCAGAAAGCCTTCTCAAGGTAGGAGACGCCCAGAATCTGAGAGCTGTGCCTGTGGCAGCCTGGCATGCGGCCCTCGGCACACGGCTGCCCACCAACCCACAGACTTCTCCCCGTGTCCTGGGCTGCGCCGCTGGCTGTGGCACCAACAGGAGCACCTTCAGACATGCAGTGGGCACAGCTCCAGACCGGGGCGGGGGCCCTGGGAGGCGGCAGGGGACGGCTCCATGAATTGGCAAGGCCTGACCTGAGTGCCCGGCTCCCACTGTCAGCCGTGGTGCAGCCTGACCCACACAGGCACCTGGGGAGTGAGCCCGCCGGGCGGTGGGGGAAGCTGTCCGCCTGCTTCTCTGGAAATGCAGGCAGCCAAGTCAGGCCGCCACCCACAGTGCCAGGATCCCACGTTGGAGAGCTGGTTCTGGTTCAAGACCTGGCTGCCCCGCTTTGATGCAGCTCCTACTGACGGCCCGGGGCTAAGAGGCTCGGGGCAGCCCTGACCCCCGACTTCACCGGCCGGCCCCAGTGGCTGCAGGTGCTTGGAGAGTAAGCCAGTGCAAAAGATTTCTCTCTCTCTCTCTGCCTTTCTGAGGGATGCTGACTCCATTCAGGTACAGACTAGCCACCAGGACCCGGGGGCAGACAGATCCCCACAGGACCCGGGCCCAAGCCCACAGCTGTTTGCGGAGTTGGTCAGCACCGAGTCTCTGGACAGTGCTGCATGCATGACAGGGCGCTCCGTGGCAAGGGCCCTCGGGAAGGCACTGGCCCGACAGGGGTCCCCAGGTCTACTCACCTTGGCCCAGGCCAGCTTCTCCTGAACGGCGGCATTGTCAGGCTCCACGTGGCGCGCGAACTTGAGGTTGCTGACGGTGTACTCGTGGCCACAGTAGACTCTCTGAGGACAAAGGCGATCCCTGAGCGCTGGCAGCACCGGCCTGGCTGCGTGCCATGAGCGCATCAGACAGCGGCCCTGCCAGGGGCCCTGCCGCCTGCTCACGTCTCCAGGACCGGCCCCTGCCCCACAGGCTGGAGGCACACGCACCGTGTCGGGAGGGAGTCGGCCCAGGACCTCGAGCAGAGCTCTGTACATCTCGTCGGCCGTGCCTTCGTAGAACTTGCCGCAGCCAGCCACAAACAGGGTGTCACCTGGGAACAGTGGCAGGCGGGATGGTCACGGACATCCTCCTGCATGACACCGAGCTCGGACACCCAGCAGCCCTCCAGCCACATCCACCCAGACCACTGCTGCCCTGCTCAGGGCTCCCAAGTACCAGTGGGCACTGTGGCCACCCAACGCCAGTCAGACCCATGACCAAGCCACCCACGCCCCACAAGCTCGGCACTCCCCGCCCAGCCCCTGCCTAGAGGCACCCGGGCCTCTGCCCTCACATGAGCCCAGGGCCTCCCGGCCTCCACAGCTCCCACAGCTCACGCCTCTGCCCAGGGAGCAGCAGGTGACAGGGCCAGCAAGAGCCACAACCACTTGTCCCACCTGGACCACCCTGGGGACTAAGGTCCACGGAGGGTGGGGGGCCCGAGAGTGCCAGCACCCGTTCTCCCCATAAAGCTGTGCACCTCAGGGCACGGGGAGCAGTGAGAGGTCAGGCAGAGGGATGGGCACAGTGGCACATGGCAGCCTCATGCATGAGACTCCAGGGGAGACTCAGGAGTGTCCACCTGCCTCCCCACACCCCTTCCTAATGTACGCAACCCCCCAGACTCCAACCTCCCTTCTGGGGCCAGCTGGGCCGTCCTGGGGCCTCTGCTCACACTGAAGGGGCAGTTTTTCTCACGCAGGGGTTAGACAAAAGGCAGTTCCTGCCAGCCCACCAGACGGGACACAGCCGCACTCTCACCTGTGAACACAGCGGGGGGCTCCGTACCCCCAGGCTTGCTCACCAGGTAACAGATGTGTCCCGAGGTGTGACACGGGGTCGACAGACATTTGATGTTCAGAGACCCCACCTAGAAGAGGAGCCACGTGTGTGCACCCTGCTGCCCTCCTGGGGGCCTGATCCCCGCCCGGCGCACACCGGCTTGCAGGCCGCACAGATTCGGGGATTTCTGCTAAACCGAGCCAAGTCAGACCAGGCAAGGTGGCATTCCTACCCCCACCTGCCTGTCCTTTGCCCCCAAAACATCCCAATCCACCATCAAGCTGAGGGCGAGATGTGCTTGTTGGAGTGTGCCAGCAGCCACCCCCCACTCCTGTGGGCTGCTCCGTCCTCCCCGCTGAGCTGCAGAGAAGACCCACACAGCACCCAGACTGGCACCCTGTGGTCGCCAGCAATGCCTAGTGGCATTCTGCAGCTGCGTGCCTGCCCCAGCTCAGGGACAGGGTGGCTCCAAAGATCCTGCCCAAGTGGTGCTGGGCCCTCCTGCTGGTTGCCAGCTACCTGTAACGTGGACAGATGTGTGACCTTGTGAGTCAGGGCCCCGATGCGGTCGTCGCCACCGTACACCTTGAGCCCGGGCCGCAGCTGGACCAGCTTCTCGTTGCCTCCGGCGTGGTCCCTAGGAAGCAGGCAGGACGTGGGGCCGCCTGTTCCTGGGACCCCACCATCACTCTGCCGGCCTCCCGGCCCGGAAGCAGAGCATGCAGCTCCGATACAGGAAGCTTCCTGGCGTCTATTGCTCAGCTCCACCGAAAGGGCTCAGGCACCTGCTCCCACGCTGCGGCTTAGAAAGCTCAGAAACCAAGCAGCAGACAGACGCCTTGGGCGGTCCCAGACCCGGAGTCTGCATGTGGAGGTCTTCAGGGCCATGACGACACCCCAACCCACCCGGCCCGCTGGGTCACACCGCGGGCAGTCCTCCCAATTTCCCCCATGACTCTGAGAGGATAGCAGCCCTTGTCAGGCAAGGAATCTACCCCGAGAGCTGGCGGCCCCACTGGAGGTGAGGCTGCACACGCCACGCGCAGGCCAGGACACAGGCCTCCCCCGTGCTGCTGCCCGGCAGCCCCCTCCCTCCAGGGCCGCCTGCAGAGGCCAGGCCCACCAAGACCTCGCAAGGCCTGCACCTGTGAGCGCTGCCGGCAGCCACCAGCAGGGGGAGCCACCAGAAGGGCCTGGAGCAAGGCGGGGCTCAGTCCATCCCTAAAGTTGGGGCCTGGCCTGGCACCCAGGCAGTGGCTGGTGCTACCGGCTGAACCAGCGGCCTGCAGGCTGGCCATGCCTGGCCCCAGGTGGGGTGAGCGAGGAGGTGCTGGGAGCTCAAAGCAATGGCATGGCCTGCCTTCATGTGGTTACTTTGAGAAAGCAAATTAAAAGCCAAGCAGACATGTTTCCCTAACTTTGAAGAAGCAGGCCTGGCACTGTGGTGCGTCTGTGTGTGCCACCCCATGCCCCACTGCCCTGCTTCCTTCTGACCCAGCTCCCTGCTGGCGTGCCCAGGCAATGAGGCCAGTGCCCATTCCCCAATCCAGAAGACCCCACAGGCAGATGGGGGGCCCCAGCAGGGAAGAGGCTAAGGAGGCAGGCTCAGGTCCTCCACAAGACACCCGGCCCTGGCCCACCCCGCTCAGCAGACCGCCCTGCTCAGGAGTGACACCCGGGGAGCAGCTCACCAGTGGTGGTGCGTGGTGAGCACGGTGGTCAGCTTCACGCCACGCTCCTTCACAGTGTCCAGCACCTGCAGCCACACGGGACACAGCCCCCTCAGCACCCCAGGGCCAGGCTCTAGGAGCCCGGCACGAGTCGTCCTGCGCCCCAAGGACGGAAGCCTGGGCTCACTCCACCCTCTGCCTGGCCACCCGAAACTGAGTGGATGGGCCCAGGTTTGGACGGGCTCTCCAGCTCGGCAAAGCCCTTCGGGGGGCCGCCCTACCTTCTGGGGCTGCACCGGGTCCACGATGGCGGCCTCCTTGGTGCCCTCATCAATGACCAGGTACATGTAGTTGTCCGTCAGAGCCGGCAGGAGCTCAACCTTCATGGCCCCCTGCTTCACCGTCAGACTCTTCCTGGGACCCGAGTGCAGCAGCAGGAACCCCAGCACCGCCGGCCCTGGAGGCAGCGTCAGCCCGGCTCAGCCAGCGCTGCAGCCGGACTGGGCAGCTCCTCCCGGCTCCCGGAGCGCGTGTCCACACGCCCACGGCCACGCCGGGCGCCCACGGCCACGCCGGGCCACCCGCCAGCCCGCACAGGCGGCAGGAGCCCGAGGGGGGACCGGCGGACCGGCAAGGGAGAGACCCCACAGCTTCTCGGCCAAGCTGTCCCCACCGACTCCACAACACCCGCGCCCCCGACAGCACCAAGGGCCGACTGCGTACGGTGGCCGCTCCCAGCTCCGGCCAAGTGAGCCGGCTGCCCTGGCGGGGCCGGCGGGGCCTTTTCCAGAACCTTCTCCTCAGGCTCTGGACGGCACCGGCGCTACCCCTGCCCACGGCCGCACGGGCACCGCCTGCGCAAGCCGCGCTCACTGGGGCCCGGACACTGACAGCTGTCGGCGAGGGCGGCGCTGCCCGGGACGGCGGCCCTGAGCCCGTCCAGCCCCTCGGCCCGCGGCCCGGGGCGGCGCGGACGCGGGCACCTGCGCCAACAGAAAACGGCGTCAGCAGGCGCGGCCAACGGCCGCCCGCGCGCCCCGGCGCCCGCCGGCCCGGCCCGGGGCCCACCTACCCAGGCCGCGGCGGGCGCAGGCGACTCCCAGGGCGGCGAGGCTCCGGCGGCCGACGACCATGACCCGGGCCGCGGGACGGACGGCCGCGCCGCGCCGCGCCCCCACGACGCCGGCCTCGCCCGCGCGCAGCCAATCAGCGCGCGCCCCACCCGCCCCCTCCCCGACCGAGCCAATCAGCGCCCTCTAGCACCGCCCCTCTCCGCGCAAGGGCCAATCAGCGCTCCCGCGTCCAGCCGCTCCCTTCCGTGCCCCGACCCTGCGTGCGGCCTCCACCTCTCCGGGTGCCCGGTCTGGGTCCCTGGGACACCGGGACACCGGGACACCGCCTGTCCGGGTCACTCCCTGCCTGGGACACCGGGACACGGGGACACCGGGACACTCCCTGCCCAGGACACCAGGACACCGTCCGCCAGGGTCACCACCTGCCCAAGTCACTCCCTGCCCGGGACACCACCTGCCCAGGACACCGGGACATCGGGACACCGTCTGCCCAGGACACCGGGACACCGGGACACCGCCTGCCCAGGTCACCCCTGCCCGGGACACCGCCTGCCCAGGTCACCCCTGCCCGGGACACCGGCTCCCCAGCCCCGCGCAGCGCAGTCACGTGAGCGCCATGGCGGCCCCCAAGCAGCTGTCCCGCTTCTGGGAGTGGGGGAAGAACATCGTGTGCGTAGGCAGGAACTACGCGGACCACGTGCGGGAGATGCGCGGCGCCCTGCCCAGCGAGCCTGTGCTCTTCCTGAAGCCGTCCAGCGCCTACGCGCCCGAGGGCTCGCCCATCCTCGTGCCCGCCTACACCGGCAACCTGCACCACGAGCTGGAGCTGGGCGTGGTGCTGGGCGGGCGCGCGCGCGCCGTCCCCGAGGCCGCCGCCATGGACTACGTGGCCGGCTACGCCCTGTGCCTGGACATGACCGCGCGGGACGTGCAGGACGAGTGCAAAAGGAAGGGGCTGCCCTGGACGCTGGCCAAGGGCTTCACCAGCTCCTGCCCGGTCAGCGCGTTCGTGCCCAAGGAACGCGTCCCGGACCCGCACGACCTCAGGCTCTGGCTCAAGGTCAACGGCCAGCTCCGGCAGGAGGGCCACACGGCCTCCATGATCTTCTCGATCCCCTACCTCATCAGCTACGTGTCCAACATCATGGCCCTGGAAGAGGGCGACCTCATCCTGACCGGGACGCCCGAGGGCGTGGGCCCGGTGGCCGAGAAGGACGAGATCCAAGCCGGCATAGACGGGGTGGTCAGCATGCGGTTCCGAGTGGAGCGCGCACAGGGCTGAGACCTCTGCAAACAAGCCTGCCGAGTAAGACGCACCCCAAGATCTTTGATTGCTTGATTGATTTGGATTTTCGGGCCTAGCCCCAGGGAGTGTCCCTCGAGACCCCGCTGCCTGGAGGGCTGGGAAGGCCGGAGAGAGATGAGCGCCTGCAGGCACAGGTGCCCAGCCGTCCTCTCCTCCAGGAAAGCTCGGCAGGGTCCAGCTTCTCCCGGGAGTGTCCCAGCGCATCCCACACCTCTGGGACTCCCCGACCACCGGGAGGTCCAGCCGCCCCTCCACCTGCTGGATCAGCGGGGTCATCGGTGGTTCTCGCCAGGGAGCGGGGAGGGTGTCTCCTTAACATGCAGCCCATGGAGGTCTGGGTGTCTGCTGTAATCCTGTTCAGAGTTTGGAAGATAATTTTGCAATCATCGTTCCCCAAATAAATGTGTCATTGGTGCGGCTTGAACGTGTATTTTCCCACTGGGGTCGGGGGGCAGTCCTCTGGCCACTGGCCTCCCCAGGGCACGGCCGTCCCCCGCCTGGGGCAAAGGCAGATACACAGAGAGGAGAGACAGAGAGGAAGATCTTCCGTCCAATGGCTCACTCCCCAAGTGACCGCAACAGCTGGAACTGAGCCAAATTGAACCCAGGAACCAGGAGCCTGTTCCGGGTCTCCCACACGGGTGCAGGGTCCCGGGACACAAGCAGGGAGCTGGACAGGGAGTGGAGCTGCCGGGATTAGAACCAGCGCCCATATGGGATCCCAGTGCATAAAAGGCAAGGACTTTGGCTGCTAGGCCACCACACTGGGCCCAAAAGACTTATTTGAAAGGCAGAGTGGGGGAGCATTCTTGCCCCTGCTGGTTTGCTGCAGCAGCCAGGCTGCGTCCGGGTCCCTCCTGTGGGCGGCAGGGCCCCCGGCTGCTGCCCCCCAGGACTGGTGAGCCAGAAGCTGCATCAAAGGCAGCAGAGCTGGAACTCAGACTGGCACTCTGGGAGGCAGGTGACCTGAGCCAGCTGTGCAGCACCCACCCCAACATTCAGTACTTTGGAGGAAAAGAGAAGGTGATTGTTAGTAGCGGAACAAAGAGGCCAACCCGCTGAGCCAGAGCAGGAGCAGGCGTCGGGCCCGGCTGTCGGGATGCCAGCTGAAGCACACGCACGCCCCACATCGGAGCCTAGGTTCAGGATGCACCCGCTCGCTCCCCAGCTTCCTGCCAACGCAGACCCGGGAATTCAGCAGTGACAGCTTCAGTGACAAGTGACCAGTTGTGCCGCCTGCGTGGGGGTCCTGCGTTGCAGCATACATCAGGGTCGGCCAGCCTGCCTGGGAGTGAGCCAGGGGGCGGGAGTGTCCCCTTTCTCTGCCTTCCAAAGAAATGAGAAGCAGAGCAGGGGCAGGCGCCCCGCACTCCGCGTGGGCACCCCGAGGCCGAGTCCTGCCCCTGCTAGTCTCGGGGAGGCAGCATGTCCTTGGGTGCAGAATGGAGCCCCTGGATCCTGGCTGTTGGAATCTGAGGGTCTCTGAGCAGACAGAGGACTCTGTGTCCCCACTCCCAAAACGACAGAAAGCAAAAGCAAACGCGGCGTCTCACGCTGAGTAACGGGGGACACATACACGCAGGTACGTGTGTACGTCTCATGTTCCTTCCATGTTCAGATAATTGAACCAATAACATTTACCACAGCACAGCTAGGGAAGGAAAATCTTATTAAGAGGAACAGACAATTAGGAAAAGTCAGAAAGTCACCAAGCTACTTACAAAAAAGCCAAGTGAACTCTATCTAGGCCAAAGCACGAGTCCTGAGGTGGGCGTGTGGGCACCAGCTCAGATGCCCGTGCCCCTCCAGCGGAAGGCCTCCGTCCACTCCAGGCTCCAGCTTTTGATTCCAGTTTTCTGGACTGCAGGTCCCAGGGGCCTGCCCCGCCACCCACGTGGGAGGTCCGGCTGCTCCCGGCTCTGGTGTTGGCCCTGAACAAATCCAAAGCCGCAGCTAGAAGCAGATAGGTTGGCTCACTTGTTCCGTCTCTAAAGTAAATATTTTACCTTAACAAGTCAATTTAAAAATAAAGATGGCTCTGCCAGGACAGGGGCCCACGGGAGGGCACAGGGTGTGTCTGTCCCTCTCTGAAGGCCTGTGGTCAGATCCAGATTGCAACCAGCGTGTACCTTCATCCCATAAATGTGTGAGCCACACTTTGTGCTGCCCTTTGACCTTTGACCTTCAGACATCATCACGTGAGTGGTGTGCCTGTCCCCGCCAGCCCTCTGCCAGCCCAGGCTGAGGCTGAGGCCCGAGCCCTGCCTCCAGCACCAGCAGTCAGGGCAGCTGCGGCCCTGCTGTGGAGATCAGCCACACGACCACACAGCACACGACCACAGGACAGCCTGGCGCGGCACGCCTTCCCGGGGCCCTGAGCTCCTGGACACGGGCCGAGGCGGGAGGGCGCCCTCCCTGCCCTCGCTTCACCAAGGGTCACTCCCTCTGCAGCCGCAGATGGTAGAACCAAGAAGACATTCTAGGCACGATAAGTTTATCTCCCAACACCAGCTTTATAAAAGCCGATACTCACTGTACTCTTTACCCAGTCCTGCGGCAGGGATGGCAGCCTTTGGCACAAGGTGCCTGACCCCTGCAGGCCTGAGCCGGGGTCTTCGAGGCCCGGAGCCTGAACCCTCTGGTCAGTGCATCTGCTGCTACTGCACAGGAAGCTGAGCCGAGAGGCAGCTGCTGCGGCAGCGTGCCAAGTGGGTCCACCCTCACAGTCGCAGAGACCCCGGCCACTGCAGGGACTTTTAAAGCTCTCGGGTGATTCAGACTCATGGAAGCCAACACCAACTTGGCCTCCACGGCAGCCTGTGCCCTCACAGAAGGGAAGGGGTCAGCGTGGCTCTGCCCCCCACCCAGGCCTGGCTGAGGATGGGCCGCACCCAAGTCCCACCGTAGTTCCCAGTCTGATGAGAACCAGTGGAAGGGCATGAGGAAGACACCGCTGACTGAGGCGAGTGCGCTTGTTTATTAGCTGGTGTAAATGTTTCCGACACAGGAGGGTCCGGGGCAGAGCCCGCGGCCGAGGCCCAGCGAGCAGTGAGCACCGCTGAGTGGCTCCAACTTGACCCAATCCACCTCCAGGAGGAAACATAACCACCATTCCCAGGACAATCCAAGCACATGTAAACAAAATATATTTTCCCATCATCTTCAAATTAATCTTCTATTTCCAGGAGAGCGAGGCACCCACACTTCTCGAGTTTGAAATGACCCAGGTCAGAAACGGCCTTGCGCAGGGAGGTTCCTGCTCGCCTCTGCAGGGTCTGCCGGGACACAGGAGAGAACGCTGACTCTGAGCCCAGCCCTGGCTCGGGGCGAGAAGACACACTGCGGAGGGAACACGGTAGGCGTGAGCCAACGCGGCGGTGCGAGGGACATTCATGCTAACTTCACTTAAGACACTGGAAAGCATGCCGACCCCAGGCAGACAGCGGCAAACACCACTGCCATTGTTCATGACTTCTCACCTCAGGCTACAAACCCAACAGGGAGAAGCGAGGGCCCCCGAGGGCCCTCCACCGGCTGTGCCCACAGACCCGCGGCCGGGGACAAGGGACCAGATGGCGCAGTTGAGGTGTCTTCTTTCCCACAGTGTGCAAAGCACTCCCACAGGTTTGTATTATAAAGTGGGACGGTCTACCAACCACTTTAATTTCAAAAACAAGACAGAAGCATGTGCTGACGTAGCAAAAACTGTGCAAGACTGCATGGGCAACACAGAAGGCGCCCTGTTTGTGGGGAACGCTCTTGCAGCACGGGCTGGCCACCCTCGGGGTTATCTGCTTCTACCTGCCGCTGTGGGGGCTGAGCTGCTTCAGCTGTGGGGTGTGAGATCAGGATTCAGCCCAAGATGGCATCTCAGCATTTAGAGCTGGGCATCTGCCGCCTTCCCAGGCAGAACAGGCCACACAGCAGGCGGGACGGGCTCAGCCCACGGCCCCGTCCTCAGCCTTGGCCTGGAGTGGACACCAGCTGTCCTCCTTGTTCCTCTCCTTTGGGTTCATTCTTAATTCCTTTATGCCACACAAACAACCCGATTCCTGCCAGGGCACCAGAACTCTTCTGCACCCATGCACACTGGGCCTTACTAAGCGAAATAAATTCCCTAGGTTATTAGCTCTTACTCTAGGTTTTCCTTATTGTTTGGACATATCAAAAAGCACAGTACTGTAAAATACACTAACTTTTTAAAAGATTTATAAATACACTAACTTTTAAATAAATTTTGCTCCTTTCCAAAAGAAGTTTCCACTTTAATGATGTCCTCTGTTCATCTGTCATTGCAAGAAACTCATTTACCTGTTAAGAAAAAAGAGTAAACATTTCTGAGGCAGTCAGAGGTAACTCATCTTGACAACAGTGTGAGACAGAAACTCACTAAAAATGGAACCTCGCTCCAATGATCACGCTCTGGGCAGATGGGGCGAGCAGAGCTGCGGCGGGTTCTGCAGAGCCCACCGGGAGCTCCACAGGAAGCTCCACCCAATGATATGGAAGCTGAACTTGGAACAAGAGCTCCATACTCAATGTCATGACATGGTTTCAACACTAAGGCACAGTGCCCACCATCACACACATGCTGTAGCCCAAGGAATAAACTGCAGGGCTACCCCACTGTGGGGTGTGCTCCCACTGTGGGGTGTGCTCCCACTGTGGGGTGTGTCCCTGCTGTGGGGGGTGCTCCCACTGTGGGGGCTGTCCCTGCTGTGGGGGGTATCCCTACTGTGGGGGGTGTCCCTTGGTGATGGGGTGTTGTGTGACCCACCCTCACTCAACTACAGGAAACACCACGTGTATTCTTCCTCATTGGCTAAATGCCTCAGTCACCACCCAGAACAGACCATGGAAGCTGTTCACAAAAACAATGTGTTTCAATCAAGATTTCTACTTCCTTCTCAGGACTTCCTCAGTTATGCAGCAACTCGTATCGAGAGCCATCTCTCCGCATCTCTCTCACACGCACCGTGCAGCCGAAGGTCTCCTCGGCGACACTTCCCGAGAGGCCGCAGGACTGGAGCGTGCCTGTGTGGTCAGTCAGGTCCACCAGCATGTCGAAGCTGGCAATCAGTGGCCTGCAGCCCAGAGAATCTTTGTGGCAAGTCGGGCACGTGTTGGACGCTTCGTTTACAATGTAACCACAGGCAGAGCTGGAAAGAAGCAGAGAGGCAGCGGCTGAGGGCCCCAAGGGACAGAGCCGGAGGGACACACCAGTGCCTCCCGCACAATGACCACATGCAAGTCTCTGAACCAGCAAGGGCACCCTGCCGCGTGAGACAGCAACCAGGATGAAGCACTTTGTACACGGCCACTGCCAGCGTCTCCTCGCCGGGCTGGGCGCAGCAGTCCACTCTCACTCCTCCGCCCTGCTGGGGACCCGGCTCAGCCCTGAGCTCGCTCCATCTCAGC